CCCGGCTAGCCACATTTAATTTCTTCATTATATAATTCATCAAACGTTCAAATAAAAAAAAATCCAAAAAAAAAATCAAAATGGAACTGTTTGAGCGAAGCCAACGTGTTGAAGTATCTGACCGATATTTGTATTATATATATCCTTTTTGCTTTGACATCCAGTCTATATTCTTGCGATAAGGTCCCTTCGCGTGGAATCGATACGAGGAAATATAGAAGAGCGCAAATATGCATACGGAATCGAACCTATTGTTTGTTTATAGATTCTGTCTATAGTCTTTTAAAATGAATTGGAATATTCTCAAGTGACTCAACCCTTTTGCCCTTTAAGGTGTACATTATCTCTTGTTTATACTATCACAGGTAGCTGTACAAGGCCCACGTACGTTGGCTTACTTGTTGATCAGAATAATCTGAGTAATAATAACCTGAGTGCTGGGCAAACATATTTGCTCGATATGTTACATTCGTACTTTAAATAAATAATTTTCATGGGTTTATATCTTTTATTATATCTTTACCTTAGGCTTCGACACCAAATGTTAAATGATTTGATATGTTACTAAATTTAACCGCTTTTAAAGCCAATATTTTTTTGTATTCCATTTTTATGTTGAAAAACGCCATGTTCCTAGCAGCATACACGCAAAAAAACATCAACGTATCGTTGTCACTCTCTCTTTAGAGACCTAACACATCGACGTCAGAAAAATTACGCTCTTTGTACACGTCTGTTTTGCGAGCTGTTGCACGTTCAGGATCTGAGCTGTTACTATCGCAGCATAAATATACTGCAGCAAGTGCTACGTGGGTACATTCAACTCCCGACAAAGTAGGTTATATAAAATGATGGCGGTGCTACCTTTGATAGGCGCGTGCTCGCTGCATCCATGCACGTATCTTTTCAATAATGATACATTTTTTTCCAAAGTGTCGAAGCGTGTTACATTGTCCAGAGAAAAGATTGAGCTCGACCTACGAGACTTCGCATTCAGTAGGTGAATTACCTATCGTGCTCTAAAATCCGTTGAAATTGATTACTAAATCAAGACTGCAAGCAAAAGAAAACACACGCCCCATTAGAGAGACTTCAACAAAAATCATTCAGTTCGAAGTTCTTGCCCCTCATTTGATTTAGGGACATGGACACGAATATGGGTTGGGTCAAACAGGGTATGACGGAGCCAGTATGTGAATTTCTGTATTGAACCATGGAAACATGTTGTGTTCTGTAGTGATTTCAGATTATATCCCGTATGATTGTATAACCGATAAACAATGAAGACTATTTGTGACGCTGTTAGTACGTATTTGCCCGAGTGCAAACGCCATGAACTATAGGTACTTCACTCTCTCTTGTTAGCATTTTCGAATCGATAATCTGTTAACTTATAAACGATAACACGTGCGTTGCCATACTCTGTAATTCACGCTTATCCTAGCGGCTACTTATGCCTTTGCGACCCATTTACTGCACCCGGGTGGGTTACTAATTGGGATAACAGCCAGCTCAGTTAATTGACAAGCGGGAAAGTACATATCTCGAGGCGCCTTTCCGGGTACAGAAACGACTCTCCTGTCATTTCCATGATCGATATAATTCGGGGACCACACATGGTCGCTGCAGGTATCAACGCACAGCTTTAGGGGGACAATTCTGTGTGTACATGCGTGTCTTTGTGTGTTTTAAGAGCCCCGTATTTGATAGCTATTGGCATCTCCAACACTTTTCCTTGCTGAGGGTCTCAGAAGCCATACACACAGTGGAACACTCTGTCTCGGGGCAGCACTTTTGGCGTTTGCTGTTCTATCCTTTTTCTTCGTATCCCTCCTGCTTCGTGATAATTACCTCCAAACGAGTAGATTCGCCTCGGGCGCCAGTGTTGGCCGTGATGACAACGTCAATAATAAGAGCGCTAGTGATGATGCTCGTGATGATGACAATGGCTGTACTCTATCTACCAAGAAATGGCGACTGACCGGCTGATCCACGTTGAATCAAGCCGACCAGCGGTAAGCACCGAAAGCATTGTCTTTAGACGATGATCCTGTACAAGATGTACAACTGTTGTAATAGCCTAATGGCAACACAAATCTATTGTTCTGACAGTGCACCTCCAGCATAGAAAAGAGTATACATCTGTATGGGCACCAGAACTAAATCGAGGCAGGTTTAGTGAAGTATGGTATACAATGGATGCCTTTATTGACGGATTCATCTGCTGGAGTCAAGCTGATGACCGACGGGTAGGCGAGCACGCCAGCGTGCCGTGCATTAGAATGCGTAGTCAGGAACAGCGGCTGAATCGATGCAACGGCCAGGGTTAGAGAAGGGAAGAAGTAGATCGCAAGCGGTTTTTGTGGTAGCCAGTCAGAGAGGCACTCGTTCACCGGGATTGAATCAGCCCGACAACGTCAGCAAACAACAAGACGACGACGAAGGCTCGAAAAAGCAGCGGCCACTGAACGAGGAACATAGCAGGTATATATATATTATTGTAGCTAGGAAAGGTTCGCTTTGAGCATCCGCCCAGCCACTCGCCTGAAGCTGCCCATTGAGTCGTTAAGGCACTAACACGAGCAGACTCGTAGCGTCTCAGAATAATCGGGTTCTCCTAACCGTCTTAGCCTCGCGGCGCTAAGGATGCCGTTAAGCGTCGAATTCAAGAAACAGCACATCGAGCTCGCTGACAGCGTCAATACAACATCCATTGCTCAACCACTGTCGCTCAATAGACATCAGTGAGAAGACCGTCAGAGTGCGCCATGCTTGCAGGCGGCTTAAGCAGCTCCGACGAAACATGAGTGAGGCACGCTCGAGCCAAGGTACTGAGCCAGCGATAAGAAAGTCATACCTGTGTTAACTAGGTGTCATTGGACGGTGACACAGTGATGCATGATAGATAAACAAGGTAGGCGGTGCATACCCCCGGCCGACTGAATCTGTAAACATTACCCCCCGTGTTTCCGTCAAGTGTTGTAGGTCGCAACGGAGGTGTAAGCCTCCGAGGTGATAACGGATATTGCGTTATATGTCGCTATTGTGCTACTAGTCAGGTATACGATGATGAGTGAGAGACCAATGAGAATCTTTGATTTGTCTATCAGTGAGCCGAAAATCATTTAATTCTAACGTGATGGAATCCCTTTAATGCTAGAAACCAGCTCGTTTGGTATTTTAGTGGTAACAAGCAAGCAAAGTAACCGTAAGTGTTTTTCGAAGCAAATGGAGTTTACAAGCAGTTGACAAGGTGAGGATAAATTGAAACTGCAAGTAGATAGTACACCATTACGACATCTGCAATTTAAACTCGTCGTAAATTTAATTATGGTTTATGTATATTGCAAAAAGACGATTTCCATCTGGACTAACATTGAGCGAACCGCACCAAAATGTATGTCACTATCGGAAAGGACCCACTCAGCTTCTTATTTTAGGAACTTTTCTTATGCTATTAAAAATATTTTCTAAAATAAAACTTCTATAACTAAATAACTTAACAAATGTTTACTTACTCTTAAATTCATCTATTCAATACAATTGTTGATGGTTTATCTATAATTCAGCTTCTGAATGAATATTTAATAATTTTATAAATGGTTCACGAGCTGGCCTATTAAAACCTTATACCATTTTTTTTACCATCATTTGGTTGTGGTAAAGGTTGTCAACTGAACACATCATTAAATTTACGATAACGTGTTGGATAGTATTCTTCATACCGTATAGAAGATTTGTGGCCTAACATTCATAATAGAATCATAAATGTTCGTTCAGGCAACCTAGGCAAAGAAACCTTTTCTCGTCCAAACTTTCTTCCACCATATCGTGTTAAGCTTAGTATTTTTAGAAACCAATTTTGTATAAAGCGAAGATAGACGCAGACGTTTTTGCCATCACTTTTTCATCACGCTATTCTATAATAGAAGGGTGAGCACTGTTAGCGATTATTGCTTTTAAAAAATTGTATTTTTCAGCAGAGGCTTATTTTTCAATTTTTTGAAAATTAAAGAAGCTTTAATTGATTTTTAGTAATGGCATTATATATTTCGTTTCTTCCAACCATTCAGGACAAAATAAATGTTGCTGACAATTCACAAATAATCAACACAAAACCTATAATAAAGTTCGAGTTTCATCTATACCACACGATCCCTCTCCATCTCTTCCGACCCACGCTAAAAGAAGGACAGAAACCTGAACAAAGGCTTGAAACACTGTATGAAGGGTACTTTACTTCAATTTTGAGGGGAGTTGACTGGACAGGAAATTTGTGAATATACTAATGATGGCACTAAAAATAACGTTGGGATATGGTTTCGCTCGCTAGATTTGCTCGTAAATATTATATATAATATATAAAATTTAGATGCTATAGTATAGTAATAAAGTATCATAATAATAACACACATACTTTTTTTGTATAATAATATGCGAAAGGCCGAATTGTAATTAGGTTTTTTTTACTAAATAATGCATTTGATGACCACACGAAGTTCGTTTGTTGAAGCATCTTTTTCTGTCTTACCCGTTCCTGGTGTAATAGGTTATCTTTTTGACAATACTGTTATGAAAATAAATTGATTTTCGTCTGCCTTTTAAGTGCATTAGAGATGAAAGAAAAATTACCGGAACACTCGCTGTTTTGTGTTTTTTTTTTTAGCTTGGTTGAATCAACAGAGGGCAAAGTGTATCTCGTTTTTAGGGTCAAAATATACGTTAATGATGAGTTAGCCTTTCGTATAAGCGATTTAGAACAGTCAACATCTTCATCCACTATACAGTACGGTGAAGTGTGTGGCATAATACTTTTCACCTAACCGCAAACCCAGCGCGCATAACGACAACTTCGAGATATCCGTGCCACGTTGACATTTCACGTTTCGTTCTTCGAACTAGGTTGAAACTATTCAAACCTGTTTGTCTAGAAAAAGTTCATCAAATCTATTGGAAAATCCATGCGTGCCATGCAAAACGGAGTTTGTATGAGTGCTGACCTATTGAAACAAGTAATTTCCTTGTAGGGTCGTCAGGGAAACCAACGGGTCTTTCGCCATCGTTCGATTTCCTGATCCTGCCCGACCTCCACCGTGTCGTGTGTATCGCCGGCCTTGCACTCAGCATCGTCTCACTTCTGGTGTTGCGCACTAGAGGTCGGCCCACGTCATCAACGCTTCCGGCAGATAATAACCCAGATGTCACGAGATCGCCCGTTCTCGTGTTCATGCGTCACACCGCAGTGGCCACTGCGCTAACGTTTCTCTTCCAGCATCTCTTCATCGACATTCATTATTTCATAGGTCTGTTACTAAACGGAAAAAAAGGGAAAAAAAACGTTTGTTCTTATAAAGGAACATTCCTTTAAATGGTCGGGTAAAATTTCTATAAAAGAAAGAGGCACCGAGACGGCTTTATATGATAAACGTTCTGATATACGATCAGAGTATAGTTTCTCCTCACTATTGATTTTATTTTTAATATTATGCTGCACAGGTCGGTACATCTTATCGGCGTTGCAAGGTCCTCTATGCCATGCGTCAGTGCATCTCGAATTCAGTTCAGCCATAGTTCATTTCTTCTTGGCTGGGTTGTTTGCATCTCTTCAATATCTCTGCGCGCTACACGGCTCGTCCAGATGGACGCGGTTCTTCCGTAAACGATTTGATCGCCTTTGCGAATGGGTCTGGTGCTTAGCTTTGATAATAGCTCTTCCTGTCTGCTGGTACACCGGTACGTGGCCTCTTTACGAAAAGACCATAGTCAAGGTTGAATATGTTGACATAGATCTTGATATCTAATATTAAGCTTAACTGTTAAACTGATGCAGGTGAACGTAGACATCTTTAAGCTTAGGCTTCATATACAGCTGATTCAACTAATATGATTATTACATAACTGTACTATGTTAACTGGTATTTGTTTCGTATTACCAACAAATGTGTCATCTGTTGTTGACCATTATCACGGTTGCGTAACAATGTTTTGCAACCGTGATGTCCAACGAGCATTTTTCGAGTGACAGGGCTAGTCTTCACAAACGAAGTGCGAATCCGAGCGTCGATACACTTCGTTGCTGGCCGGATTGGCCGGAGCAGTTATTTGAAGCGATACCTAAACCTGATACTGTAAAAGCCGAAATACTTATTAATCTCCCTACGAGGTTAAGAGTGTCTGCGACAGAACTAGGATTACCATTCATACCCTTTAATCTTGTTTATTTACAATCATGGCGTGGTTTATAACTGTAATCTATTTGTCACAGGAAGTCATGCTGGAATGTGTTTTGATGACGGAATGGAGCATCTTTATGGATACCGTTTCGTCTTTGTGGATATACTCACATCGGTCTGGTTGTTGACACCTTTGGTTCTCCATATAAGATGGCTGCGAAGAACGACCAGCTTTGCATCGGCATTGCGCACCCTTTGGAGAGCCAATAGACTCTCGACATATTACGCTGCCAAATGGACTTTCTGGGCCCTTCCTCTATGTGTAGGTTCAATGGCGTATTTCGCATAGAAGAATATCGGCCTCTGCTTAACGTAAATGGATGTATCAGAAGAGAAAACGCTCTTTCGAAAAAAACAGCCTAACTTAACTCTCCTTCAGTAAGCTATGAACAAGTTGCTTCTTATACAGTCGCCATAATGAAAGGGAATTTAAGTATATATTCGCCTACGTTAATAGAGCTTTTCGTAATTAGCTCCTGGCAGATTACTCCTGGCATCATAACCACGTAAATGTGCTACTCTTCGCGTACGACGGATATCTTCTCAGTTACGCCATTGATGTCATCTTCTTCGCGTTTTTTGTGGAAGAATTTCGGGAGCTGCTTCGGTTAGTACAGGCTGAATTACCTAGAACAATTGAAGCTGGTACCCTCATTCCTTATGAAAATATCGACCAACTTGACAAGTGAGCCAATTATTTGCCTTCATTTAATTAAAACCTTACCGTTAATGAGAAACCTGACCCTATTGTTATTTGGTTTATATGAGTAAAGCAAAATATAGCTCGACTAGGCTCTTTTTTTTGTTTTTTGCACATAGACATGTCGAGTCGCTTACTTGTGTATGTATGTATACATATACGTAATGACGCCGCTTATAATATTACTAAGATCGAAGATTCAGGGAGATCCGCAAACTAGAAGTTTACGTCTCGTACAGTGTAAATATTACCTTTAGCAGCTATTTCTTGTGTGCACAAACGCCCCCTATCCGCATATGAGGAACGAAGCGCATTCCGTCAATAGCGGCACGATATCCACTCACAAGTTCGCTACTTCCACCTTAAAGTAAATACAGTATGCCCGTATTATTCGAGGAAAACAGCAAGGCAGTGCTACATATCTTAGAAATTTTGACTGTTAACTGGTGCATAGAGTAAGCCTAACGGCCTAGTCTCTCGACAAATTAAATTAGTATAACTCTACAATACGCCTATACTTCCGATGAAGCCCACAAATATTGTATTAATAATACATGATTGCACTCTATTTTCCTACGTCTTCATATCGATCAGGGCGACACTGCCGTGGTTACCCATAGGTCGCGCGATATCTGAGGGCACGCGTACGGTGAGCCCGTTGAGTTCGACCAGTTCCCTCTCGAATCTCAGTGGAGGGCGTGACCTAGAAGCAGATCTTGAGCAGAACGGCGATGATAACGACGAGAATGAATTACTAAATCAACGATTGGAACAGCACGAGGCGCTGTATAATCAGCAACAGCAGCAACAAGCGCAGCATCACGAGACGTCAACGCCAAATGTAAATAACGTCCTTTCCTCTTCGACCACACCGATTGAACAACTGACCCTAGTGCAAATCTGATCATTAATAATATTTTTTGGCGATATTAACGGCGGTCAAGTGAATGCCGCGGGTGGCCTTGGAGTTGCAAAGGATGAATAAACAACGTTGAGTGCGTCTGATACAGCAGTGGCGTATTGCTTTCCAGAGTCACTTTCTAACTAATAACGTACGCTAGTCAATTGAACTTACTACAGATATTGTCTAATGTCATATATACAGCTTAGAGCTTATATCTGCCTGTGGCTAGAGCGGCAGAAGTTGTTCTTGTTGGGTTAGGCGAAGGGTGTGTGCTTCGAATCCTGTCGAGCCACTGTTGTTTGAATGGCAACGTCTTGTCCAAAGACGTTGCTTTTCAAACGCCTGTTGAAGTTTAGACACCGGACAGAAACAACGGTGGTGGGATTGATGTTGAAGGAGGTTATTTTCAAAAAAATTCAAGCGTTCCGTTCCAAAAAAACGACACGCATGTCAAGTCCGCTCACTTATTGCTATCAACTTTATTCTAGTTTGTCATTACTTTCTATTTACATATACACAATAACATTTGGGTGTTGCACGGCTTTGTCGACGTGTAGTTTCGTCTGCATGCTTATATTGATAAATCATTTATTGTCTTTTCAACTAGAAACAGTATTTTGTAACATCGTATGTGTGTGTATTCGTTGTTGAAATTTTGAGTAGTTTTCGAAAGACTGCATTCGAAGGATATCTCTTTGATAACGTCGTTCGCCACCCGTCACCTGTACTGGACGCACACAATCCACTTAGCTTTCAATCTGTCAACTTACTTTTGAACCATTCCATTCAGGAACAGCGGTAGTGCGCTATCTCTATGTTGCTCTTGCTAAATGGCCACCGCACGAAATCAAACACGTTCTCATAGACGTCTTGTTTGTGAATTCAACGAGATCGAATAGTACACGTTTGCGCCATTGCAATAAGCCAAACGAATCAGTCAGATCGGTCGTTCAAGTCGTTTCTAGTTGATCATTAAGGCAATGGATATGGAACATTTTTGCACATAACTATTGTTTCCTCGTTCGGTCGCATGCGGAGGGTACAAGCTCACTTCGTCGGCACATCTATTCAAATCCAATTGAATAAATAGCTCATTCCTACATAACCTTCTTACATAACAGGACCGTTTTCCCTTAGCCTATCTTTGAGTCATGCCAGTTGTTATTCATACCCGTACACGATTCTTTACAGCCACGCTAAACACAGAGAAAATTTTACCGTGGCTCGATAGAGAGCGACATAGTCTGTGATAAAGAATATATATACATATGTATATATATATATATGTATCTAACCATTTCCCCGTTCACTGTGAACTCTGGAATAACTGGCACGGTAGGATTAGCAAGTGTATCTTCGACATATGATATTATTCAGGAAACATAATCTGTCACGGTGTCAACTCGTCCGATCGGAGTGGCTCTCGCTTCTTCGATAAATTCCTCAGGTACAATTCAGGTTCAGCGATCAGCTTTGCCGATCGAAGGTCGGTTTCCGGTTGGCCTACATGTGTTCAGGTTTCTCCTTACCAGTGTGCGTTAAAGACAGGTCTCATACTTCTGGTCGTGCCGGGGGTGCGGTACGAGCCGAAAAGTGACGGCTGCTTATTTGGGTCAAACTCATAGGGGCTCGCAAGAGACTGCAACAGTCATATCGCCTGGTTAGAGCTAGAAAATATACCTGTCTCAAACCTATATAATGTAGCATACAGTAGGTGATCAAGGAAGCATAGAAAAGATAAACTAATCCAGCTTAAATTTAAGCTCTCGCTAATTGCATTTACCATAGCTGCAGAATTTACGAGTTTACTAGGATCGCGTGTGTGAACAATAACAGCGATGTATACAAACTACATAAAATAGAAGTGTCTGAGAGTAGACTACAAAGATAGCAGTATTTCTACCTATTTTCGAAATTCGTCAGACAACAATTGTTAGGGTGACAATTGTGCCATACTATGGAAGTTCGAAAAAGACACATTTGACATGGGTCAGTAGACATGTTGCTTTTGCATATATTATTGCTATCACATCAACTATACACTGATAAATTATTATACTTACTGCAGGCCCAAAATGTGTCATAGCGCTTCTAGACTTGGGCCGTTGTGGTATGCCTGGTAATGGTCCATAGGGATTTTCAAGCTCAACCCCCGGCGAATGGGCCCGCATATGTCGTTGCGTAGCGTAAATTGATTGCGCCCGAGGCATAGAATGAAGAGCTATTGCGACCATAGGTAATGACGAAACAATTAAAATATAGTACTCATCATACATTTCGCCTCACTATCTGTCTTTCAATTGTCAAGGCCTTCAGAGAAAAACGTTGACACGTCCCTTCTTTGTATATATATATATATATATGTCTTACAGTAAAGAATAGCATTAATACAATGAATAAGAGCAATAGCAACGCAAAATTCTGAATACGTACGTGACGAGTCCGGCTGTACGTAGATATTAGGCAAATTGTCCAGATGGGCAGACCAACGAAAACGTTCATCCTGAGATTGGTGTATACTGGCGGAACCTGAGGCCATACGATAGCCTACAGAACCTGTCTTATTCAAATATCCGGCCATACTTGCCACAGACATCACTTCAGCCTTGGCCTGCTCGCGTTTCCAACGGCGGCTGTGAATCCATCAACACAAATATGAATAATGCGAAAATGATTATATGCTTCGTATAAGCTATATGAAGCATAAGGGGTCGACCGTCAGAATGATGATTATTGATGTGTTGTTATGTAGGCTTGCAATTGTGTCCTATTTGAGAGTGTTCCACTCTAGCAAAGATGTGTGTCAGCGGATGCATAGCTTTCGTTTAGCGTTCTATGTAATGTATAGACCCGGTACATTGGTTAAATGCTATAGATTGCAAAATCTAAGAAAGAAAAAAATGCCTCACGTAAACCTACTTCCAGAGACAAAGGCAAACAAGGGTGAGAATGATGATGATCACGGCAGTGACCGAAGCTCCGAGAGCGACAGCTAAAACCTCTCCGTCGACATCACAGCGTGGTCCTATAAATTTGCCCTTACAGGAGCAACTACGTTCTCCGTTGACGATTGAGCATTCACCTCTGCAACGGCAAACAATTGTCAACGAATGTAGACTTGCACCTGGTACGAGCAGTGTTTTGTAGTCGAATCGATTTAATGCCCAAATCTGTCAAACCAAAGTTTTATGCCCAGTATTGGATGCCATTTAGCTTTACGTCAGGCAACATGTATCATACAACATTTGTACATGTTGTGATCAGCATGAAACATACCGGTGTTATGTTAGTTTACGATGGTTGGACGCCCATAAATTGTCATCGAAAATTCGTTTTAGCGATGTGAATACGATAGGCAATACATCGATCTTATCCACAGATAGGCTTCCACCAGGATCATCACCTGTTATTGCAGTAGTCCGGCCCACATCCGGTGCAGGTTCGCCCAGTTCTCCTTGTTGCGGGGTTTTTATCGGTGTAGCCGGGCTTGCAAACGCACTTGAACGCGCCAAACGTATTCTCACAGTTAGCATTCGGGGAACAATCATGCAGCTCTTTGTCTCGACATTCGTTGACGTCCTCAACCGTCAGCGCTGAATTAAGTAAGGGCTCTACGAGCAGACGCGAATCACCTGGTAATAGCAAAAAAATAGTGACAATAATAATAATGGTGAGCGGATAAAAAGAATATCAATAGAGATTGAATAATTCAATGAAAGCGGAACATATTGTGTTTAAATCTGTTTAACTCTACGGAAAAGCTTTCATCAGCTTATGAGCCTTCCTCTAATATGTCTGACATTCTCGCCTTTGAGACTCAATGCAGAAAGGTAGACAAACCTAAATTACTTTTCCCTCGTGATATAAGATTGACTATTTCATGTTGAACAACTCGCTTCACCGAAGCTACTCTCGTGATATCGTTCTCTTCAAATTCGACTGTGGCATTCACAAGAACCTTCGAACCTGAACCCTTAAAACGGTTTACGCGAGAGTCCATAAATACTCGGGCAAATGATGATTTGCTGAATAAGCTCCGCAGCTGGAATGAACCAATCAAAACGAAATTATTCTTATTATCAGAATATCTATAATTATTAATTAGTTTTCTCTTTATATATTTCAGTACTAACCTAATGAGTTATAATAATAATAATAATAAATGTAATTGTAAAATTAAGAGTTTCAACACTAAGTAGTGGCTTTGCGTTTTGTTAGCATTTCTAAATTATTTGCTGACCTTCAGTGAAACACTTTGAATCTTCAATAGAAAAAGGAGCCGGTATTTTTTTGAGCACCTGGGTCGAGAACGAATACATCGGCATGAAGCGGAACGACCGCTGTTTCAATACGGATAGCAGTTAGCCTTTTCGTTCGCCGTTACCAGTATGTCTAACGCTATCGGTGATGCAGCTACCGTCACGGTGAGTTCGTTAAGAGGCAGAACGCCAGCTTTTTCATTGTTAAGTGGGCGCACATTGCACTTGGCCCATTTCGCCTAGCAGTTCTCAACGAAACTCCGTAAAGGTAACGAATTTCGATAGATTTGTAACTGGACTTGATTATTATTCGGTTCTGCCATGTTGCCAATAGCATTATTGCAACGTGACTGTAAATGATATGATCGGAAAGTTACCTCTATCCAGTAAACTTTTTCTGGGCTTACACCGTGCTACATGTTCTGATACCGTGGGCAGTTTGCCCACGGTATCAGAACATGTAGCACGGTGTCAATCATGCTGTGTCATCTGAAGGAATTCTCTAAGCCGTTCTTCTTTACACTTCAACTGATAATGAAAACTAAACATTTGAATAAATAATAAGAGTATATTGTATTGAAAGAGAATCTTTTCAGGCGAACTCATGGTATTTTATTCTTATACATGTTCGTGACTTCGTCTGAGAGTCTTCGACAAAAAGAATCAACAGAAAAAGTTGAAAACTTGCTACTGGTTATAGTCTGGCCATTTCCTACACATAACCTAACCAATTCGTTGTAAAAGTTTGTAGTAATAGAAGTTTTACTATTTTATAAAATGTTATAAAGTATTTTAGTAGTACAAGTTATATAGAATTATTATAAAGGTTCAACGAATGAAAAAAATATCGATTGCCTCTCGTTATTGACAATAGGGCAGACACCGTTGAATCCATTTTACTGTGTAAGAAGGGTATTTCTACCGAGATATCTTAAGAGAAGGTAGCCTTGAGTAGTTGTTTCTATCTAGACTGCAATTATGTTGCGGTTGCTTAATTCAGACATTGTTTGCATGTATAACTAGACTTAGATTATCTGCGTGTGCGTGTCTTGAGAAAAAAAAAAAACAATTAAAAACCATTCAATCGCGTTTTTCAAGTAATAAATGCATAGAATCTGATCCGCTCCAAGTGACTGCTAAACACCCATTGAAGGCAGGTCTTCGTGTGCTGATGCATACAATCCAAGTGACTATAAGTTTTTCCCGCTTATACTATAAGTGAAATTTTACGTCGTTTTTAATATTCCTTATCCCGTCTTCATTTACGTCTGATCGTCAATTTCTGTCTTACATATCTATTTTGAATCTGCTCACTACCAGCCAGTTCTTTTAAACCTTCATCAGTTAGCCAACTATCACAAATCGTGGATATTACTGATTGCAGAACTTCTTTTAATCAGACTAGGTATATACATATATACATTGTCATATATAATGAAGATATATGTTATTAACACAAATAATGAATAACATTTTAAAATAAATAACGTAACAGTATCATGTTTATTGGACAAACAACGTTAATAAGTTATAAAGATCGAATTGAACTAAAACTAACTTGTTTATACTTTTAGATCAAGAGCTCAGACGATGTTCTGAACAACACTTGGCTAAAGTTGACACATCTTAATTATATATGTATATATATACATGTGTAAAGAAAAAAAAACACATTATTCATATATAAGAAGGACGAGTGGACTTTGGCTTAATTGTGTTTCATACCTATTACAAGACAACGTACTATTATTAGTCCTATATACATAACTTAGCGCAAATCTAAGATGTACGTGTGAGAAGTTTATTCGGATATTTCCTAGTTTTTTTTTTTATAACACAATAAGTATAGATTATGTGGTGCATATTGTCGTACAGAAGAAGATTCAAGATGGTAGTCTTCAGCTAATTTAAACATTCTAAGATCTCGGCAGCTAAATTTTGCTTTTGTTTAATTATTAACAAGTTTATATTATTTTCAGTCTCGGTAAAGGTCATAGGATGAAGGCGGCAATAGCTAGTATCAAGTTGAGAATTGCTAGAAGTAGCCAGAAAACAACAGAATAAAATATCTATAATCGACTGTATTGTTCTACTGTTCTAAATCTAATCCAATAAAAATGAATCTATCAGACGCATTCTGCTGCAGTATTCTGGTGGAGCATATTATCAGCAATGATCGTCCAACTTAGCAGGTTCGGTGTCACAGTAGGGATGTAAAGGTTGGCGGTAAAATGACGGTAAGAAGCCGTTTGTTCAGAGCAGGCGCATCTTGGAAAGCCTGGCCGTAACAGTGACAGTGACAGAGCCGTCGTAGCGTCCGCTAGTGCTCAGGAGCCAGTCGGTCCTATTCGGGCTTCTGATTAGGCAGTAGAAGAGGGCACATATAAAGGTGCAGCGACAACAGCGATAATGGTGATAGTCGTAAATGCCTACTATATCGCCTGCGGTAGCCTCTCTGCACGACAGCGTCGCCACGCCCTTGTTAGCATAGCACGAAGTACCTTGTCGACAATCGAGCATTGATCCGCGTCTGCACTACGGCAGCTTTACATTGCTTCATGGGTATGAATTTTAACTTGTGACTTATAACTGTATATATATATGTATGTATATTTGGCCGTTCGCACCACTTGCCTGCTACATAATATGAAAATTTTAAAACATGCATGGTAAGATTTTTTTAGTAAAACGCTGCTTCTGTATATTCTTTTCAACATAATCAAAGTAGCCAGTACAAGTGTAATTTTCGTTAAAAAAAAACTAGTACTTTCTGCGTATATCACAAAACTGAATTGACCAAAAGCTTTATTCTTTTGCACACTGGATTTAGAACTAGACACGTCATAAAACCTGTACTGGAATATGTGTCAAAGGTACAGATACATGATAAGAATACTTTCCTTTATTCTACTCTGCCAGCCTAGTCCACTAGAGTTTTATTCGTTCGTGAGTAAAAGGTTGACAATGAATTCGCTGGGTCTAGACCCAAGTAACCCGGTTTCACCGTGTTTTGTCTTTAAAACAGCGTCACAAACGACTCGCATCTAAGCAACGCGAAGCTAGAGTATGACGTGGTTGAAGGTTGCTTCCCAATCACAGACCGCAGCAGTGTCAACAATGGCTGGAGGTGTTGTTGGTAGTGAAGACGACGAAAGGAACAGTAGCTAAGTAGGCATACTTACTTGAATCGTGAGCTTTTCATAAATGTCATAAAAAATCCCACGGGGGTTGCAAAAAAAAAACGAGGAAATCTGCTGGGGCTGTGCTTCGGAGTTCAGTGGTCTCCGGTTTATTAGCTGGCTTCAACTTTGCCTCTATTTTACCGACTACTGTTTGCAGCTATTGGTCGTTGGCGGTACGGCCAAAGGGGCGCTTTGAAATTCACACATAGCTCGTTGGATTCGTTTTTGAACACAAGGGGCGCAGCGAGGCTGATTTTTCTAGATCAAAAAGTTGTACGTCAGTGTATTTTTCGAGCAAGCAGACTTTCTATACTTGCTTAGTGAAGCTTTTGTTGACTGCGGTGATGATTACGATAACGGGATTTGTTCGGGTATCATCGTTTGTTCTTCACTGGAGATTTGCTCCAATGACTTGCCCATTCCGAGAAGCATTTTTACTGTAATTTTTTTTACAACGAACACTTAAGTGACTGCATACACTGCCAATGATTCTGTTTTGTAGTTCAACGCCCACCCCTTGTTCGTCCTAACATTTGTCCCCCTTGTCCTAACATTTGAGAACTGTGCAAACAATTGAGGTCGTAAAACGATCTTATATATAGGAATATAGAGATATGCAGAAATAAGTTGGTTGTGTTGATGACGACAAGTGCGTTGTAAGTGTCTACGTATATGTCGAACTAATGGAGATGAATCAGCTCCTCCTTGTGGACTCCGAGCGATCCTTTAAATCCGCCATGTTCACCTTATTAAAACTATGACCATCGTGACAAACGTTTAGATCAAAATCGTTATAGCCGCACATTGTACTGGCTTTTTTCTAGATAATGTTGAAAATCTATTGACATTTCTAGCCGATAAACGCATAATTAATGGTCAAACGCTATATCGCATTTTGTAGCGTTTACTCATTTAGTGTTTATCGTGTTAACATTCCCCAGAGCAGGAAGCTTTTTTCGCGCTTGGATTTTGGAGATGCTCGTCGAATCGAAAGGCAACACAAAGGGTCCAGAGAGGTTAGCTCGTACGGACTAAGTGAACAGTATATGTGTTTAGAGTTATTTCGACAATCGTAGCTGGCTCTAAGGTTACTGGTATGATACATTACATGACAGAGCATACTGCCAGTAAGCGTACTCGTCAGTCCATATCTTAACCAAGTAAAAAAATGGCCGTGCTTTACTCCCAATAAATGAAAGTGCCCAATGGATGGGCTATACTTACTGCCTGCCGAGTTTCAAATTCGAGAACCTGGTACTCTTCGGAATCAGGGTTAAGGTAATTGGTGTTATAATGTAGCTTTTTGTCTCCCATACGATCCAATTTGAACGTCAATTGCATCGAAATCGTTGCTACATGAAATGATACGATAAATTAAAGGTTATTCCAATCGGCAAAACAAACGTTTTTGTTTCGATAGGCTTAAGTTGAGAAATGTATTATATATTGTTGTTTATATTTACTGAATACACTATTCTGGAGCTGTTTTCCTTACAAAAAAAAAAGTTCGCTTTATGTAAAGAAAATTCGGTATCTATCGATCACCACAATTGCTCATGATACCAAATGATGCTCAAGGAGTTATATTAATTTTTTCCCAAACTGACAAACCCACGCTTTTTACCTATAAGGTAATATGAAAGTATTATGCGAAAAGCACCACTTATTGTTCTCACTTACCTAGACAAGGTCCTCTGGGCTGGGTTCGGGCATAACCGGGCCTACACGTACAAGTGCTGATACCTTGGTCCGTGCGACACCACTCATTCAGGGTCGCATCACAGGTCGAATCATCACCTACAATGCAGGTATCAATGCGGACCAACGTGGCATTTGATTTACTTTTAAACGTTGGCTGCCTTTTCGGCTTCTGCTGACGGATTGGCCCTGACCCATGGCGAGGTGACGTTTTTACATGACCGAATCCTCCTTGGTGCACTGATGGTCGAACAGGATCCACGTCAACAGGCACCACGTACGGCTTGCCAATACCATGTCCTTTGGTGGAGCTTGCCTGGCTAGTCGACGTGGTCGATGCTCCTGTTGGAGCGACACTCACCTCTCCCGTACTTTTTCCATACACCACGTCGTCTTTAGTAGTTGTTGTAGAGGACACTACAATGGACGGTGTTGGTGTCGACGATGAAGAGGCTTCCGAATACACGATTGTGGAGGTCGTCGAAGCGACAGTCAGGCTCGGCGAAGTGTTAGCGGGGCTAGATAACGTTGTAGGCAGAATCGATTCTGGGGCAACGAAACCTGTCGTGGGAGTCGGCTGAATTTTTGGTTCGGAGGCGCTGCTCTCGGTTGTAATAATCTCTGCAGGCGGGCCCATGTCACTGCCGTGGCTGACTGTCGGGTTCAGGTCACCAACAACAGTGATGTCGAATATCGACGGTTCCGGTCCGTGGGTAATAATATCCGGTTCGTTGTGCGGATCATAGTGAATGTTCATTCGGCTGGTATCTTCTGCACCAACAGGGAGCCATGCATTTGACGGTCGAACCTCTGCTTTGCTTGGTCGGGGTGTTGCGACTGGCTCCAGGACTTCGATCACAAACGTGCCCTTCTCGTGCTCGGTCGCGTCAGTATGACCGTTCCGGACTGGGGTGGCAGACAAAGAGCTGGCGCTAATAACGGATGAATCCACTATTGTGTTCGATGGGAGTAGGCTTGGAGGTGCATCTTGAATGAACACGATCGTGTTACGTGACGAACTTCGAAGTGGTGGTTGGGTCGTTTCCTCATCAAGATCGGCGGGGACAGTAACTGTGGGTGTTATATCAGACGTCTTCAGTTCGAAATGATGGTGAGGCCGCTCGCTATGTATCTCATTACTCACCCCAAGAATATTGCTAACATCCGACGGTGAAGGGTAATAGAAGCTAGGTGGGGTATGTGGCGTCGCTTGGTGGTGTCCCATTAGATGATGTCCACCTGGTGGAAAATTCAGGTGCGGGATGTAAGTAGGAATATTAGGTTTTCCTGGAAACTGTTGAGCCAGATCATATGGCTGAGGTCGCGCATGATGTGGATGGGGTGGTGGAAGGAATTGTGGGGGTGGAGGCGGACCCACCAGTGGCGCTTGCGGGGGATGAAAATTAAAACTAGCCGGGGATAGCACCGGCGGTTGAGGCTGCTGTGGAGGTGGGGTAGCTCTTCGTCGAACATCACCACCCAACAATTGGATCAAGCCAGTAAGGAGTTCAATGGTTGGGTTCCTAGTCCGATCTGGACTCTTGGCTTTAACCGTTTGTGAGGGACTGATACGGCTAGGAGAATGATCCTGACGGCGTTCAGGCTTATCGGGCGATGGAAGAAGATCGTCCTCATCTCGAAACGCGGCTGTCATAGTTGTTTCCTCAATGGTTGGCGAAATCACAAAATTGTAGCCAGACTTTTCACCATACGGAACGGTGTATTCGACCGTTGGCACCTCCAGAGCACCCATGGTTTCCGTAGATAAGGTGGACGCTAAGGGGGATGATGCATCAACTATTGAGCTCTTTAGTTGCACGCTGTAAGGCAAGTCTTCATCAGGATGCCTATCGCCGGCTTTCGTCAAACCCTTTTCTGTTGGCGTATCGTGAACAAACAATGTGTCTGACATCTCTGTTGGTGACGTGTGGCCTTCGATATCACCCTCAGTGCTTCTAATAACTCGTTGCGTGGTTTTCTCCGTTGTAGGATCAGCTCTGAGAGAAGCTTTTTCAGTTGTCTCTTCTAATGCTGTTATGCTTTCCTTACTGGTCGCATATTGGACGACATTTGTTGTGGCTTTTAAATCAGTATAAGACTGGGGGCCGATTGGTGGGGTTACCGTATCTGGTGCGGTTGTGATGTTCGATTTTACTGACCGTGGCGTATCTATCTCAACGATAGTGTCTGCATCAGTAACCGTCGTTAAGGAAAATGTAGCATCATCCAACGGCGATTTGACCGTGGTCACAATATCGTCAACGTTGACTATTCGTTCGACATCGCTGCTGCCGGAAGGATCTTCAACGTCAGGGTCTGTTGTACTCGAGGTCCTGCGAGGGTTTTCGTCACTGTGAGCTCCTTGAGCATAAGCTTCTGCTTTAGAATCAGTCGCATTTTGAGAGGAGGCTAGGTTTGCGCGTCGAGGTGGGAAACTTCTTGAAGAGCTTCGGTACGTACCTGCAGTGAGATCTCGATTCGGTCCGACGCCTGCAATGGACACATAATGCTTGAGGCTGAAGCTTCCTCGACGAAAAGTGGTAATATGGCACAAATGTTACAAGAGCTCATACGCTGTCTTGTCAGTACAACTTAATTGATACAGTAGCTAAAAAACTATAGCCTAGATGCAAAAAAAAGCTAACTTAGGCTTGCATCGAATAATATTACTAACTAGTAGCATTTCTTTGTAGAATTGCTTTCTTAGGTTTAATATGATTTTTATATCATTTGCTACAATGAGCGAAAGATTAATCAACAGAGATTTTACATGTTTCGATGAGGCGTACGAACTGCTTGTGACATAACAATTTTCAGCGAGCGTTAACGAAGCAACGCCAATAGCCGCGTTCGGCCCGGCGTCCTGACATAGGCTTACGGAAGAACAAGCTTGATTTAAATTCGTCCGTTCTATTGTCTATTATGCTATAAGAGTCGTTGTTTTGACAAGTAAGTATCATAAATATAATGACAAGTTACACTGCAGATGCTATTTGCAACCAATTTTTTCACCATACGTATAACTTAAGTATAATATAGTTATAAAATTATTGCAAGTTACACTTTGGTCCAAAACAGTGTCGTGCCGTGAGCCTACTTCATTTTCTATATTTTCATCTGTGTGTTATTATCCGACCGATCAGATCTTGTGTTTCTTAGCTGGGCTGTGTTTTATGATTTAACTTTTAATGCCGGCACCAGTTTCTTCGACTTCGTCTGCACTAGCAGAATTGAGCGTGCGCTCTTCCCGATTCCCCTAGTATACTCGAACAAAGTATACGCACTGTAGAGTATTGAAACAACGATAGCACAAATACATCACATACACGTGTGAAAAGGTGTCATGCACGACATCGTTTGGCTGTGGTTTCATTGCTTTTATGGACGAACAAAAAGGGATTTTCTCCCGTAGATTCGAATCAGTTTATGCCGGGCCAGCCGGATAATTCTGTGCGTGGTACCTGACCTATCTATGATTTTCTTTCGTTGTCTTTTGTCATTCCTCCTAGTGATAGCTAAGACGTAAACGATACACGATAAAGCCTAGCAGCTTATTTAATTCTGTCTCTTAACATCAATTTGCTGGCGGAAATGTTGTTTGCGAGCGGCTATGCGTCTTCCTTACGACGGCGTTGAGTTTGTGATGATTACAGCATAACGTGTATTCAATCATTTCGGTCACAGTTTGTGCCGACAACTTTCATTTGCAGGGAAAAGGATCTATGTGGAAGGCGAACAGCAAAAGAAAAAAAATGAAATAAAGAAAAAACCATCGACTCTTTTGGTTCACGGAAATGTTCGAACTTCGACGGCACGGGAGATGCTGATTAAACAACGTCAATACGTTCTACTGCGAAGTTAAGAAACTTCATTTCCGCACGATGCTATTGCTTTGTATAAGCCATACTGTTAAGAAGTAGTCCTCTGCTTGTTATAGGCCTCCTTCGGTGCTCTGCGAGCGTGTAGATCGTTGGTTGACCAAAGAAATCAGGCTAATAAAATCATATTTTCTAAAAATCATTAGAGAGTACGAGAAGAGGGTTATCGAAAAATATTTAATTAAAAAAAAAGGCAAAAAGCTAACTCATTCTGAAATTTTCTGTCGCCATACCTAACTATACCTGCATAGGAAGTTCATACACAACTATAAGGATCCAAGTATCCTAAATAATTTGACTTAAGCCAGCAAGAAAAGACGGTGTCTCATTTTTTTCCTAACCTTGCTATAAATAATGATATTTTCTTATAAGCAGCCTGAATTAACAATTAATTTTGAATTCAGCTTCAGTTAAATTCAGCTACGTTCAGTTATGGTGAGCTAGCAACAATTCATGGTAAAATCATTGCTCTCAGGTGGCTTTGCTTAAATATGATTTTGAGTAGGAAAATTTAATTTCGATTCTCGTCCTGCCATAAATGGCAATGTTTCTTCAGAAGTTACGGGTAATCGTCAGATGGATTAAATTCGAAATTTATTATAATAACAATACGTTCAGTTTATTCGGCTTAAACATAATAAACTAATATAGAGCGTAGTAAGGCTGTAACAGAGGATCTCCGGTTGATCCCGTTCTCTGCTTGGGTCTGCCTAGCAGACTGTCTGTGGGTATCTCTCATTTTGGTTTTGAAACCTTAGCATTCATTCGCCTTTATGAACTGACTTTCGATTATTTGCAAAATGAACAGCTCTCCATTGGCCTGCACGTCCTTTATTGTCAGTCCGTCCGTCTTGTGGCACACTGATATCTGTCACAGCACCAAACAGCAATAGTTGTCTGTAAACTATAGACGTCAGACATAGATAATGCTGGGGTCCTGTAGTAAGTCAAGGCTTTCCGGTGACCATCTCAGACAAGTAAACAGCTTGTGGCGTTTGCTTTTGCAAATCGTGCTGAACCTCGCTAACTGCAAGCAACGAATGGACGTCATCGTCAAGAAGTCTAGCAGCGACTGAGCAATAAGGTTGATTGCCCCCCGCCCCGCCCCGCCCACTTGGGCTTACCATCACCGCAACTCGTATAATGTCAGTGCATCATACACGTTTGGCATTGCGAACTATATAGAATATTTGAATCACACTTTGAAATCCTAAGATTTTGTTTACCGGATAATTAGTTGCTATATTATCGTTACCACTTGTGGCGTCAATTTACGGTTATCATAATCCGATTTGTCTGGAAAAGTTCTTTTTGTTGGCTTGATCTGATATAAATTCTATTCTAACATGTTTGTCTTCATGAGCAAAATGCATCAATGGCATAATTTCTATGTACCATTTTGTGCACTAAAAAGAGCGACATATATTTGACCCTTAAAACTTTGTATTGTCTAATTTCTGAACAACACATCAGCCCTTAAGAATAAGGAATATCCTATTAATTGAACAGCAAGTATTTTCAGCTGTGAATCGTAGATTCGCCGTTTTTATCGAGCGATACTCGGCGTTAGAATTCGATCCAATGCCGAGCCTGTTTCGACGACGGCGATTTATCCTTACGTGACCTTGTGAACAGACTCAACATGCTGGCCTTGGCCTTTAGCCTACACAGTAGCATCGGCTGGTGACTCTACAGTATAGCAGCATTAATACAAATGATTGTAGCTCACAATAGTAAGTTGGAATCAGCTAGATTACCCTATTATAAATAATGAGATATATGCCAACTATTATTTTTTGCCAATGGTTCGACATCGCTACTTCTTTTTATTATTGCTAGTTCTGTTCACAGTATCGTTGACGGGAATCAGACGGATCGGATATATATAGTCAAATAACAATTGAAGAAACAGATTAGCCAAATAGGTCCCTTCTTATAGACAGCTAGAAATGTTACGGTAGTAGATGTCATTTTTTGTTATTTTAAAATTTGCATTGTAGGCAACAATCTAATTTTGTTCCCATGCAAATAGCGGCAAAAAATGTTCCTCGAGGCAAGGCGAAGTTCCCCATTAGCTTCAATTGTCCCGCTAAGATGAAGACGCGTATGCACAAGTGCTCGCGTTGTGAAATTTGCACAGTAAAATAAAGCCAACGATATTGTGCGGTTTAGCTAACATGCAACCAATACATTTTTGCCTCAGAGCTTCCCGAACACGGCAATATTTGTTGAACATGGCTGTATCAATGATAACGCAGCGTACCGGGGGAGTCTCTACCGGTCGTCTTGATCCCCCTTAAAGGTGACCTCATTGAGGAATAAAATAAAGAAAGCGGATATTCCGTTGAGAATAAATTATGAGTTAAGACGCCACTCGAACATTGTGCTAAGTCACCAAACCACTGAGAATTATAGGGTATGGCTGACACGATGCAATCCATCCTTTCATGCGCCGCGAAACGTCTTTATTTTGCCTCGATCTGCGTCCAGTTGGTCCTTTTTTGTAGACATGTCATCAAGGTTTGAGGTGCCAGCATCGCCGCAGTGCGCATCTGTAAGTACTTAAGCCATTGTCCGAATGACGGTTTTGAAGATATACAAATTAACCGGGAGACAGTAAGTATAAAATAAATTATTCCCAGCAGTCTGCGTGTGTCCGTCACTATACGTATTGAAACGTCAACAACCTATTTGAAGAACCTTTTCTCCTCAATCAGGCAATCCACACCGTGTAGTCTTTTTCTCAAAAGACATTCATGCTGCCGCACAAAATCTACGCTATTGATTTACGCATATCACTTTCGACAGATACTAACTGATGACGTATTTGTCGGCAATGTACGCGTGCCGATGCAGTATTTACTATGTGTTTATGGGAGCTTATAGTCACCACTGTCGTATTAGTCTTACTATTCTGTTCTGTTCTGAATAAAGCAAAATAAGTTACACATACAAAGAGTCCATCCTTCTTTAATCGTAAAAAAAGCATTTTATCCTATGTCTTTTATAGGTTGTTAAGAAGAACTTCGGACATACGCCACCACTGTCACTTGCCCGTGTGTAACCTTCACCGGGACAAAGGTGTTAATCGCGGCCATTAGAATCCGCATCGCAGCTTTTCAAAGCGTTTCTGAAGAGTGGTGCGTCAATTCCGACGCAGCTAGCATTTATACAATATACGTTTGCATCGTCCACCGCCACAAATTCCACCACCCGGTGACAGTAAGCATCAATATCTGCAATAGTCCTACCAAAAAGGAGCGATTTCTTTGCTAGGGTGACCCCGCAATAGCTTTATGAGCAATTGGTTGTATATGGGGCAGAAGCAACAAATAGCAATGACCCCGGTTTAGCGGCATGGCCAGTCATATGGTAGGTTCGTTACGGCTAGCGGAACAGCCGTATTGCGTTGAGTGCAACTTATACTTAGGATGCGTTTATCCGTTTTGCTATTGCCTGTTTGATGCTTGTACCCCTTAGAAAGGGGCTGCCGGCTGGTTTCGTAGCCTTAACAATTCAGCGGCGTCTACGAGCTTTCCGGCAACAAGAACTCAACAGCCATGAGAACTAGCAGCTGAGCTAGTCGGACGCGAGCACCAATAGATAGGAGAAATGCTGGTAGATCTCTAAGTGGTCGGCTAGACTGTTCCGAAGTCTTTGCTTTCACGCGATGCTCAGTACTGTATAAACTGCGTGGACATTGGGTCTCCATGGAATGATTATCTTGAATCGCAGAAACGCTGCTCCAGTGGCCATCTCACGTTCCAGCGAACGACGCAGCCGAATCAGCGGCGTAGCAAAAGGACTTCACTCACACCATCAGCATCAAAAGCGAAATAAGATGAGATGGCACTTTATTATCAGGCCGCAAAAGCGCTGAAGGTGCGGAGCAACTTCTGATGAAAGCAAGACAAAAAGGGGGCCAATAGGTCAAATAAGTAATTTGGCGTATGAAGATCCAGAATCCTAGACTCAACCATATATGGTTAATAACCGAACGTCCGCATGCAATGCTTTATGTCGATGGGAATATGGAGACAAATTTAATTAGCGCGTTTTTGTCAATAGCATATGCAGTGAAAAGCCTCTTAATGGATTTGTCGATTAGGTACGTGAGGGGACGGGACCGAAATAAAAGGCAATGCCAGAACTTCGGAGTCCAGATTTCGATTAACTGAAGAACCTTGATTGCCGCCATGTTGCTATTTATGGACGTTGAGGGCAACGTGCATCGTATACGACCATATTCTTATTACACTTTAAACTAGCAGTTTTACTAGTATTTTCTTTATTTCGACGGGCTTTTTAAAGGGTAACTAATTCTGATGATTCAGATGGTAGCAATAGTAAAAGAAGCACCTCAGTACTTCTACCGATGATATAGCTCTTGTTAGACTATCGACTGTATAAAGAAGACGTTAGTCACGAGTCAAGTAAGACGTATCTTCTTTCCTACGGATATTGTATTAATGCACTATAAGCTTATACTGATTGTCAATGCAAGTAAATTCAGTTAGTACAATTATGGCGTCGAAGGGCAGTTTGCTGAAGAGCGGCACCGACAACGGCTTCATGTAGAACTTGTACCTATTAATGACACCAAAGAGAGAAATTCAATTTCGAGATAACGAAAAACTCAGATTTGCTAGATGCAGTCGCAGCGACAGGCCCTGTAGTACCAATGTTCTGGATGAGCAGTTTCTCGCTTGTGCCCCTTGTCGATATGGATGCTCGCTCTAAATGTATCAAACAAACCAGAATACGGCCTGTGTCATTCTTCGTTTTTGTAGCTATGTGTCCTTAGTCTAGAGGTCGTCCCTATCCGTACTTAGAAGCTGTCTTATTTTCCCGAAATTAACAATGTTGCCTAGATAACGAAAATGAACTGCTTGCTCGCGACGTTTATAAGGCATGTCGCCGATGTGACACGAAACGGAAGAAACAGCCGTTTATGTTCCCTCTGGTTATCTAGTATCTACTAACGAACGTCGCAAATTTGCTTGAGACTAAGGAAGATTTATTATTTGTGTATTCATTTAAGCGGCGTAATCTACGATTATTGTTGTCGAAATCGTCAGTTTCCCGCAGTAGATAGATATCGTTTCAGTAACAGCAGGAGTAACACAATTACATTTACAAGTAGAACAGGGAAGACCACTGGCAGAAAGAGGATAATTCCTGCTAAGGTTTTCTAGCTTCGATGTTAGAAAAATGTGCTAATAAGCAAAATAAAGGTATTTAGCTAGACAGGCCGTCCGTTCACGAGCAAATGGTTTGTGGTCAGGTTGATCCATAACCATGTATGTATAATGCGTCCTTACCATCCGCATAGCCCGTGGATTACTCTGACATTATTTCAGCCATCCCGGACCGTCGATAACTAGACGCCTATTTGTTTACATAAGCTATCATCAGTGATAAGCAACATATAGATATATATCGCTCAACTTCTTTTTTGTTTCTACTTATGGCCCGGATTAACCTATGGGAGGGTTTCGTCTAAATATGCATCTTTCCGCTAATTCGATTATTTATTGTAAAACTGCTTGTTTTTTTTAGCAAAAAAAGCGATTGTATGGAACGGAAAGCGGGCAACGGGCAAGGTGAAAACGAAAGCTTCGACAGAAAATAGCTGTGAATACGGCAGTAACAACGGCCACATTGGTTGGAGTCACACGCGAGGTCTCCATCGTGTTGATTTTGCGCTGTCCCGGTCCGTCACCGCTGATCCACTTTGGCTACTTACAAATACTGCCACAACCGATACATTACAACAAGTAGCAAGCAGTAAAGTACGCTGCCCCAAGAATCCATTGATAGTGTTGTGGTAAGCATATGAAGATAGATTCAAATTTTACGGGTCGACTGACTATATATTGCTCAAGTGTGTCGCTGATTTTTGTACTATGTATTATAGGAAAAATTGCCAAGCCGGTTAGTTCCAACGAACATCACTGTTCCATCAGTAGGGCGAACCGACCGTTGCAGGACATCAAATGACATCTACCACTGGCGACCAGCAACGGTGCTGCCTTTATTACCGGAGCAGCCATAGCCACATGGCTGTAGAAAATGGCGATCTTCGTCGTCTGCTCCGCGTCAATTCGTGTGCGTGCACTTCAGAAGAAGAATGAGAAGCGTAATCAGAATTCGAGCAGACTTTCACTTCGACTTGTCCCGTTCGCCCGCCTTCATGTCGAGATGTCCGACTGACCGACCGCCGACCCCCAACAGCGACCGCCCGCGTTACCGAATTGGGTGACTTGCTGCTTGGCTCTACGATTAATATTATTACTGCTAGCTTACAGATTGCTGTTTATATTTTGTTGTTGTTGTACAGCTTAGACAGCTCAGCTGAGCAGAAGCAACAATAACAATAGCACCAAGTGCTGTCCCAGATACCAGAGCCCAGATTCTGTGTGCGATTCCTGTTGATTCCGCTGTTGTTCCCGCCGCCGTCGGAGGCTCTTTTCCCTCGTCGCTGAGTTTTCGCAAAGATTATATATATCTTTACCATTAAACCAATCGCTACTTCAACCAGTTCATCTGTGAGAGTACCATAACATACAAAGTTTCGTTGGCGCACTCCGATTCGTCGCTGTACGTGCCTGTTCGTGGCTTGAAGAGTATTTCATAGGTGATCGGTAGAACATGGCTAGATAGCGGAAGATTATAACGAATGCAAGTACGCTATTGGCAAGTGTAAATTTGAACTAATGGAGGAAGATTTCTCCAGCCGAGAAACAACACAAAGCCGGAACTGGGCAGTGACTGGCAATCTTGTGTTTTCTCTAGTCCTGTGGATAGATCTATATGTAAGGGCTGAAGTGTTTATGGACCAGTGACGACAATCATAACGGCACTGGAATAATCACGAACGGCTGATGTTGCCAATCGACAACTGGGGATACTATTCTCCGAAAAAGTAGAGAAATAAAAGTAATCTTCCGCGACAAACAGCAATCCCCTTAAAAATGTGTACAGGCGAAACAGGCATCTGATCATGGAAAACAGCCTGGTGATGTCAGAACCGTAATAACATCACTGGCTTTAATCCACGAAACATGCAAATATCTTTGGGATGATCCTGCTGATGGACAATGGCGACCGCAAGAACAAAACTAAATTCAAAAGCAAATTAACAATTGCTTCGATGCCATCTGTCCATCTAGGAATCAGGCGAAGACTGCGAGACAATAAAATTAAATGATCAGTCATTAGCATGGGGCACCTATCGAACCTACCGCCCACGCGATCGTCCCACGTCGACTATCAATGGAGCGTTAATTTAAAAAAAAAACCGAATGCACCAGGTGTGGTAATATACAATTACCAGAAATTTTCGCGACACATTTGGGAATTTACTAGGACATTAGATTGGCCGTGAATAAGATAAGATAAACTAGAAGTGGTGGAGGCGTCATTGTACCACAACCGCAGTTGGAAATCAATCTCGGTGCTACCCAAATCAACGAATGAATAGCCTTGACATAGCAGGACACTGTTTTGCTCAAACTCTTGTTGTCGTCTGTTTCTATGGCGACGAAAGTATCCGCATAAAATATTTTTTGCTTGCAACGGCTTAAAAATGGAACACACAGCATGACCGAAGTGCTGTTGCTTACACGTCTCTTTAGGTGAATCAGTGCAGGCCTACACCAATACACGCTAGTTCAAACATCGATCCAGCCATAATCAGGAGTTATCTTGAGGAGCCAGGCTTTAGCTAGCACAACAACGATACTAGGAACTGGCCATTTGCGCAGCTGAAAATATACAAATAATTGTCTGCTGTCATCCGTTACGCCGCTGATTTGGACATTCATTAACAATTACTCTGATGCAAACAGTGACGCATACAGGGTCTTGAAGAGCGACATTGTAAACTTTATTAGCAAGAATGGTAGAAAGATGTTTCCGTTCGTCCTTGAATTTTACATGCCCTAATGGCTACCTATGACGATAATCTGCATTGCTTATTTAGGTATATTGTGCAATAGCTTCACACTATAATGTTCATCGATACCGTGATTTCTACAGACGAAAACGACGATTCTTATTTTATACAACCCTATTTTTTTTCTTTCCGATTTCGTTCCATCAATATTCCTACACGTTACATATCTGTTATACGTTATGATAACGAATATCGAGTCAGTCTGCAGTATTAGTAACTGTATAATACTGCTATATAACATGTTATACTCATGCAATACAATAAATATTTGTGTTTATTTATTGTGATGCTCGCCACCCGGTGGCAAAGATTTCTTTGGCTGGATCGAGATTATAATACTTTTGTTGATAACGTTGTTGACGTACTGTTAGTTCTAGCACGTCTTACGTATAGTTCACTGACAGGAATCTACTAGTGGAAAAAAGAAGTCGACCAGCGTCCGATCTACGATAGCCATACGCACCTGTTACGCTATAGAAAATGTATTATTGGCAATATGGTAAGCTCTGTTTTCTTATAAGGTAGGCTGTCTGATCCAACGTTCACATTAAAAGAAAAAATATATTTCTCCTTTGAATTGACGAAAGCAACCGAGATTTCTGCTTGCAGATATAGCAGACCATATGAAGTTCGACCAAATAGTAAATTCTTATAATTAGTACGTTTCATGCCTGAGTATTCCTCATATCCGCAACATATAGAACCAAGCTGTGGTGATATACATAGAGACCTAGATTTCTGGCCTTGAATGCTCTTTTCCAGCGTAGATGCATCACCAAGAAGCTATTCACTGACGGATTTATCACGTAAAATGTAGTGCCATTACCTGGTGAATAGAGATGGCGTGGGGCTGGTCTCATTAATGGCCTGGTAGACAACATGGGCGGCCGCTTAATCTGATAACCTGTAACGGCGCCGACGTCGACGGCAGCGATCTCTAAACTATGTGTTTTATCCTTCAAACTTATACCGTAACCGGCTTCTCAAAAATCAAAATAGGTGAGTGAGGGTTGCCAGCTCTCCGACAGTTCGCCGATAACGCCTCGCTTAGCGTCAGCTAATCAACGAGATTAACCGTACATTGCGATTTGTATTGATTTTTGTGTGATATGGCGATTTTTGTCGTAAAAGGGGCATAGGACCAAAGGAAACTGATCGGGGACCGCTCGAAAAAGAAAGCTTGGAAAGTTTGTACAGTGAAAGTTGGTATATACGGTGAGCATCATCAGTAAGAAAAACTGCGAAACACCTTCTCAGTACGGAGTACAGTGAAGAGATAATTGAGTGTTGGAATCCATTACAGGTAAAATGATACATCTAATCCAATCACGTGAGAGTTGTTTGAATTGTTTTAGGTAATACTAAAATATTGTATATTCTTATCTGTTCCGCTTGGGCCGTGGGACTCCTTGCGCGAAAGAAGACCTGCAGCAGGCGTTAGATCGTATGACGATATCAGACTTTTTCAAAAAGCAACATTTATTCCTTTCGTGCCAATCACGCTCAGTTGCAATGTCTTCAACTATGTTCTATGTCAGTGTTAAGATGCATTTCTGCCGTGTTAGCCATTCGAGTGCAACCGGTCAAGATTGCATACGGCTTGTCACACAAAAAAAGTTTATAGGTAAGGCACACTTACACTTTTCTGCCGTTTCTCACTCACCATTTTTAATTGCTATCGTCGACAAACGTATTAAACGGGCCATGCTCCAGGGAAAACATGAAATTAGGTTTTACTTATCGTTTTCGATCTCATAGCGTTCTGTGTATCAGGTACGGACTCTAAGTTGAATTTCCATACAATACGTTTCGCATCAATATACAAACAGTCATAATGATATGCATCTGCTTTAACCTACGAGACATCTCACCGTATGCGGAAAGACGCACGCTATATAGACTCACGGGTTCGTGGCATATCCGTTTTCGCCCCATGTACACCTAAGCATAGTACGCTTTAATGTAATAATGAGCTCCCTAACACAGTCTTACGTAGGTAAGAGTCGTCATTTTTGTTTGTCCTATGTCCGTCAGAAAGGAAGCTTGAGGTTTTACACTGATGTAGACGACAGTGCTTTACCAGACATCCGCCAAATTCAGCATCTGCGCTCAACGTTACAGGCTCATCTATTGTTATATGTACATCGAAGTTTTTATTTATTTGTATTTTTTACGGCTAAAGTAGCGTAAAGTTAAAAACCGGTTGCGAATGAGATCAGCCATGCTGACTCTGCCAACTTTTTCTTTCACTGCTACCTTTCACAGGTACGAAGGTAAACATGAACGGAGCACGAACAAAGGGGAATACCTCTTGCTGTTGATCTTCCTCCATAGCTTCTTCTCCTCAGCGTACTTTTTTTAACCAACCCCAAACAAGGATCACCCTTGCTTTATTTATATTATCATCAAAGTTCTGCAGTGAGTCATCAACTTCTGTGCTTTTATATAATAGATTTTAACTTCCTTGAATCACAGTCCATATACGCATGACATGGATTTGAGCCAGCGTCAACAGCTGTGACGGCGTAATGTGATGCTGACAGTCGCCTCAACTGCCTGTTCTTTATTTTGATTATGCAGTTCGGCCAGTGCAAGGGTCGATGCCCCCGGTGTCAACAGGGCGATAACCACTATGTGGAGAGCGTGTCAGTGGTAAACGCCAATCCGTTACTGGGCTTTAAACAACGCAGGATGAACCATGGGTACCGACAGACAACACTGCGACGACTACTTAGTTAATTGACTGTTACAAATGTAATATCGTCATAAATAGTTTTGACGCGTACGCCTATCTGAACGGATGGAAAGCAGGAAAAAGGTCAATATACATAACTACTACAGCACTTCCAACGAATGTGTGAATCATGAGTGTATATATGTACGCGTAACACAATGTATTTCAATCAGCTGATTGTTCTGTCGGTTTGTGATTTTATGTCAGGTACGAAATTCCCACTAATTAATGCCTTATAGTCACAGAACGACTCTACATAATGGTCATGTCTTCGTTACGTTAATTCGTTACGACATATACGTACTCATAACTTTATGAGTACGTATATGTCGTTAAGATCGACTGATGCTGAAAGAATGAAACAATTGTATTTGTCCACATTCTTGACCGATTGGCTGCCAATCGTCTCATTGCCCACTTCTCGAGGTGCCAGGTGCAGCATAATTCTTAAGTAATTGTCTTCAGAGTTGCTCGTTCCGTTGTGTCGAGTTTTCTGTAACTCCTCTTCTCCTCCGCGGTCGATTTCACCAAACATGGGTGGGGCACGATTTGTAAACCCAATTTTGGTCAACGAACGGGTCATCTCAACCAGTTGACCCAACGAGATTTTCTGCATCTTCTTGAAGAAAAAAACGCAGAGATCTCCTGCTCATGCGCCGCATAACCGATTTCGACTGTGCAAGCCCAAAATGAAGCGAAGTTCCTCCATGCGGCGTACCAGTGATCGATTCGGTATGGTTATATCTAAGAATTGCTATACGAAGTGACACGTCGCATGCGACCCTGCGAGACGGACAAAGCGTCACGGTTTGTGCGAAGCATGTAGGGACACCCGCCTTTGAATTTTGAATACTAACAGAGCAAAAAGAACTCAGGGGTCTATGGTGCAGAATTTAAGCGAGGCTCCTAATCATAATCGGTGTCGCCGTATATATTCATACATAGAAAATGAAGGTCTATTTGATAACCAGCTGTCCTAACCCGTTCTTAATTACCGAAAAGATATGGCCGATCAAGTTGGCCCATGTTAAAGCTTTACTCTGAAGACATGATATAGAGGTGCTAACATGATGATAATGCACGACATGATGGAATTTACCTGCAAATTTTCATAGTATTTACCGTTTGAGGATGCTGTCTCAACTATAGCACAAATACAAAACAAATGTACACTCAGCCTCAATGGTTTGTATAAAACAAACGTACCTGAGAAGTTTGCGATAATCACGTGCGAAACAAGTATAGGCCTGGGGAGTAGGCTGTGAAGAAATACACGTTTTAGCAGATAGATACGCGCATAGGTAATGACGAGATAAGTCCATTCTGGTCTAGTTGAGTCACATCTGGTTGCTTTCGAGATTAAGTTTTATAAAAAAAAAAAACTTGGAAATAATGGAAGTGTTGCGGGTTACGTCGCAAGAGAAATATGCCAAATTTTATTAAACCGATCGTATCATCTACAACTAAGGCTTCTATACTGATTGATGCTAAGTAATTGAAAAATCATTTGTCACAGGACTTAATGTTATTCCAGATTGCTACAATCAATCTGCACATAAAAAAACACTTTTCGGTTAACAGTACCAACCAACTCGAGTTTAAATCATCAGGAACCGATAATCTTAATGTGCAACAATAATAATATTAAAAAAATGTCCTATTTGATTTACAGGCATTGGAGAGGCGTTTGAAAAAGAGGAAATTGATTACGTAGTATGCAGAAGTCCGCTAAGTTTTCAATCGACTATGAATATAAGCAAGACACGTTGATCTTCGCATTGGATACTGATACAAATAGCGGGCAGTAAAATTGCCAGGAGACACAGAATTTGTATATACTGGCACGATATCTATTTGGTGTAATACTGTGCTGCCATTATATAGAATAACTTGTATGGCCATTGATTCAATTATATCTTAGCTTAAAATATATTCGTGTACTTTTAGAAGCTGGTTTAGCCGTGTAACTAATCAGCATCTTAGATGCCTTAGTTTCTCGTAGCGCGGAACTTGGATAACTTTCCAAGATTTCACAAACTGACGTCAGACGTTGTAACTGAAATGTAAACTCCAACGCAATGTACAAAACATTTTTTTCGTTTTATTATCATATCTAGCGCAGCAAATTCGGCACCAATCGCAGTTATTTAGTGTCGCTTTTATTTAACTCACTGACTATAAGGATAAACATTAAATAAAGGATTCGTTCTCGTAGATCGTTTACTATAACGACGACTATCGTACAGATCGATCTCTAAAGTTGAAACCACGTCGAACACGACACAATTACGCGGTTTTTCGCGAACTTGTGACGTATTACGTCTGATGCAGTCGCATAGATACCGTACTTCCAATTAATTTTAGACAATACATATTTTTCGAATAGAGCTTACTGGATAAGTAGTCTAACTTAAAAACGACCTCTTCTAAAATCTCTCTTGTAAAATGATCACAAATAATAAACAATTGCCAATAACGAGGTGTAAAAATTCTCAAGATATAGAGGCTCATTCTATAAAAGCCTTTGTTTCGCATCTGGTATTAAATAAAAATCCAGTCTTCCGCCAACGGTTCGTTGCGTATGTACGAGATGTTCTATGCGACTCCTGTTTTCTTTATTACGGAATGCTCTCTGGTCACGACTCGCTCTTCGACGGCAGCGGCCTTCGCTGTACGAGGCATGAAGACAACGGACATCAGACTTCAGCCAAGTTTCGGTTTGCCACAGCAGCAATGGCGGCGGTAGTAGCACCGCCACTGGCACCGAGGTCTTTCTACCGTTAGCGTGCTTTATTCCGAACAAGCCTCGTCGGCTAGCCGGGGCATACGGAAACTAATTGGCCAAATTTCCAACAGCCCTTACTACCTCACACTCGGGCCGAACGCAGTGATGTTTTGGCATGACGGCAATTTTGCCGCTCCTGCAGTGACCCCACGACCTCCTCGAGTCACGATCGGATTGCGGAGTTGATGTCGGTGCTGGCCGTAGATAAATAATTCAGTCGATTTATCTGTGACTCAGTTCACTGACGTCTTCAGTTGGTGTCGTTGCACTCCACAGTTACAGCCATTATATATAAAGCGGACTAATAAAAGGAAATCTCAATAGAAACTATTAACAAATTTTACTTGATTTGATTCTATGTTTTCATTCCATACCTACTGCGTCATTTCTAAACAAATTAATCAATAAAATTACATTAGACTCCGAAAGCGAATCTTCAGCCACGAGTCTCTAGTAGAAGACATTCGGCCGGTACGTACTTCTAGCCTTGTAGAAACTTGAGAGAGTGAAGATCGGTTAAGCTTACTATAGGAGAAATGATCTTTGGTACCTATTAGTCTCGAATATCAACGTCCAGAGGTCAAGCTTTTATTCCCCGAGAGCTACATCGCTGCGAAAATTCATCGAGGATTGGCAGTGGCATTAGACGATAAAAAGCGAAAGCACAGTATATGGATAGTGCAAACGTGTCAAGAACGGAGATCGGAGCGTTGAGAACAAGCGAAGAGATGACCAAATGTCGGGACCCGAAAGGCAAAAATGGATTGCCGTAATCGGGGAGGCTGTTTACGGTTGTAGAAGTCGCAGTCTAAGAGCTCTGCCGGCCGGCATTTCACATGTAATACACAATTATAGCCCAAGTACTGAACATCTGGAAACTAAAGGAAAAGGGATTCGCGGTGAATTGACTCCAGGCCAGTTGGAAATGCATATAGTGTATTCCATATGCAATTTGCGTTTCAGTCAACAAAAAACATACGGTCGCCATGGGCGAGGCATCGATCAGTCTTTACTACAAGTTGAAAAGGGACCAGGCGAGAGAATGACGTCTCCTCAAGAGAAATCGAGTTCGGTGGTAACATGGGGTAGGTGTACTAGCATTGGGTACTATGACACATGCACAAAATGAGATGATGAATACGGCCCTCTTTCTCGAGATGCTCAAGAGGCTTATGAATTGGTGACATGAGGATCGAAATTGTGGAGTATGGTCACTTGATGACAACGCCGAACATCACCGCAGTGCTTCCATTACTCCTTGGATTGAAGAAAGAAGTATCAACCCGCTTTTTCTTCCGACCTAAGTTGATTTAGGTACGATGTTTTCCATGCCCTAAAAGGAGAGACTGGTGAGCAAGCATGTTTGACAAGCCATAAATGAGAAATTATACAGCGGAACGCGAATGGTTGGTATATGGCTGCCCAGAAGCTGCTAGAGCTTCGGGACAAACGTGTAAGAATAAAAAAGAGTACCTTGAATGCATTTTATAAAATCTTCATTCTAACTCAACTTGTTCAACAGTTATTTTTTTAATTTCAAAGCCCGACGTATTTACCTGCAACAGCCTGATCATTGACATACAACTACAGTAGTAAACAAAAAATCTAAGAGTATTTGCCTGAAAGGTCTGGCTTCGAGAAAAAAAGTCCAATTTCTTTAACCTCTAAGAGGTCCCTGTAATTCACTTGTTGTCTTATCGCCATTGCTGCTTATCTGAGCGGTTCAAATCGGTTCATTACTCGTGATTTCGAAGATGGTGCATATTATAAACTCGACAGCTTTTCGTCTACATCGTCGTTAAACGGCTTGAGTCTCTGCCAAACGAACAGCCAATTATAAACATTTCATCATGGACTGCCACAGCGCCTAAACTAACGTGATGAGTCCTGTTTCGCTATTAAACAATAGAAAAGAGAGAAGGTTTCTGATTCAATGTTAAAACCTGGAGATATATTGTTTTGACGATGGCAAAGTTTTCAATAGTTATGATAAAGGTCGATAGAACTTACTGGAGATCAGTACAATTGACGCTGTTTCGGTGAATTTTCAAGATGTGCTATGTACTATAAAGTATCGTTCGGACGATAGAACAGTTGTGCCTTGATGTGTTTTTTACAACTCTTCAGAGATTCATTCCTTCTCCACATCCGGCGCAGTTGGAAAGATAATCACAATGGCGTTATAGAAGCTAATGCAAGTTGCATGTTTTCATACTGCATGCCTCTCAGCAGCGATATCGGAGCTTGTCTGAGTTGACAGTGACTAAACGAAAAACGACCATCTAAATTGAGCGGTGTATGCGGCTGATGCCGGACTCCTCACGCAAACGTATCTTCATCATTAGGTAGAGATCTCAATGCTGCCTGTCATGGACTATCAAGGCCTTATCCTAGTGCCTGCCATCGCTCCCAAAGACGAACTGATCCAACGCTGCGATTGATAGCCTCATAAGCTCGGGCAGACAGTCCGGGGCTTTCTAGCGACTCCTTTTGGAACTTATTTTGAACATTCTAGATCACGGTAAAACTTCAGCGCACCAATTAAGCGAATGAAAAGGAGGATGAAATTTAATAAAAAAAAACTCTACCCAACCACAAAAGCCTCGTCCTTTTTATGTAGACTAAGACCCCTTCCGCTTTTGTTGTTAGATGAAAAGCGACGACGCCAACGTAAACATGAACGGTTTTTAAAAATGAACCGTCTAAATGATTCAACTATAGAATTGGCAGTGTTATACTTCCTTTAAGACAGCTGGGTGCAACTGGACATTTGTATTAAGTATATGATATTACGCAATTTCTTCATAATTTTAGCACCATTTCTATCACCGTAATTTGTCTTAGGTTCATCTCTGAAGGGTATACTTGACCGTTTTTCTTTAAGGCACCTGTTTATCAAAGAAGGTGTTGATATGTTTTCGGATACGACATGTGTATAATAGAGACTATTGCGGTCTTGTTCCGCAAAATCCACATTATTTTTTTGTTTCTCCTGCAATGTTCAGGTTTGTTTCACGGTCGCTTCTGCTTGCAGCGTCTTCAATGGTCGTCGTTGTATTGAGAAGCCGACATTGCTTAAAAAGTAGGTTATATAAAAAGAACCATCATTTCAGATTCACTCAGCACAGACTTCGGTTTAAATCGTTAATAAGGCTAACTGAACAAGAAAATGGAGTCCCCCCGATAATTAATGACACTGTTTTTTCCTGCAAGAAATATGTTTGTAGACAACGTATTTTTTTCTTTGGATATTTTCCGACGAAATTGGGCCTTACTCGAGATCGATTGCTTGAGATATAAGAAGCCAGGCTACATTCGCGCTTAGTTCGCATACGCCGACTGGCAAGTGAGTTCAAGAAAAGATGGCTACGTTACCTTTTTTTTTTAATGTCTAATCTAGTCCCACCTTACGTTTATCATGGTTTCAGAACAGAATCAAGCGTCATAGGGGAGAAAGAATGATATTACTGGTTAGCGTCCGAGTAACGGGTGATATAGCAAAGTTTTAGAATGAAGAATAGCAAGCAATCTTCGTTAGTAGCGTACAATGCAATGCTATTGATCTTTACATACGCCGTATATATTCGTTGTATACTGAGTACTGTTACAGATTCTCGTTCGTGAAGATAGTTTTTACGATTAACAGGCCCTATTAAAGCATATGATATTAATCTATACTCTATCGTTGCCACAGGATACGTATTTGATTGTACTGTATAGAAATACTATCTTTCAAGCAGTGAGATCCATAAAATGGCTGGCCGTTATCATGGGACGACAACAACAACGACAGCTGAGAAATAACAACGAAGTAATCTATTTACGCTTTACATTCGTTTTATTATTACCGTTAGATTCTAGATTAGTTTCTATCGTCCGAGCTCGTGATTGCGACTATAGGCAATCGTCTACCATAGCAAACCCTACTCCGCTATCTATTCTTTCCTCCGCTTAGATCATATCCTGTGTCTAACACGTGTTCGATAATAATCGTCTTCAAAGCACCATAATGCATCTCTTCGTCATCGTCAACTGAAGTGTTACGCATAGATATCTACATAAACAAGAAACAAAATTTGTTAGATGAGTACCAGTGGCGAAGTCGGCGGACTGTTAATATTTGGATCACGTTTAGGCTCACAGCTCTTCGGCGCAAACTTTAACGTTACGCTACTGTAAAGTCTTCACCTGTTTCCAAAAAAAAAAGCGTCGACTTCTAGACGAGCTGAGGAGATAACGGCTACAGATGCTCATTACATATATACTATCATTATGTATGGCTATGTAGATGCTCATTTTTTCATATTAGAGACACATTGTCCGACTTAAGGTTTTACCAGCTCTATTCTGAACGTGACGAAATTTTGGCGATAATCCATTGAAATGCAACGTTACACCTGACCCGCTCAATTAATGGCTGACGCACTTCTTTCCGTTTTGTCGCTTAGATTTATTAACGGAGGAAAATTAACGCTAAATTTCAATTTTTCGTAAATGTAAGCGCTCAGCATTGCCTTATTCGACCAAGGCAGATCAGGAGGCTTAAACTAGAAGCGGAAGTAGTTTATGATTGCGCCAACAAGCTAGTTAGGATCAGAGCGACTCGGAGAGCTTCATGAGATGGAAAGAGTATTTTTTTGCGCTGATTAAAACTGTGTTGTTACTTAGTTCGAAACAGTTACCGCAACAGGAGCCGAGAAAACACCTGTTAATATATGAACTGCTCATTTAAGTTCGCACTTACAACTTCTTACGGTAATTGGCCAATTAAATAATAAGCGCATTCGGAATGGTCCTAATCTTCTTTGAACTAGTTAATTAGCTTATCGATCAGATTTATTGACAGAGTCATTGGACCTTACCAGTTCAATGGCCTCGCATGAAAAGTTAAGGCGTAAATGTTTTTCTTGTTGAACTCTTAGATAAAACTTGTGATTGAACAAAGATGGTAATTGGACAACGGATCACATCATACAGGTGCCTAGTTCCAGACGCCGACAACATGAATTGTCTAACCCGAGCCAACTCGTACGTATGTACATTACACGCTGTATCTATAGGTAAAGAGCCCAAATTGTCGTTTAGGACACCTACAAATAGAGGCTACATGCACGGGGTACGCATGTTTACATGTTACTGGTTATTTCGTTCAACGGTAACTGACTCTGCTTCTGCCGATCAGAATATTTCACAGATTCCTTCGGCAGGTGTTCGTCCCGAAGGTCAGGCGTGCTTCGCACAGTTTCAACCAGCTGCTCACTACCTTTCGGTTCGACTAATCGCTATTGAA